TTAATGGGTTTGACTATCAAATTCTCATAAATATCTTATTGTCATACTCGTATAGTTTATGATGTACTTTTAGCCTATACTATTATCCTTGTTCAGGTAAGTTAACTTAAAAGTAAAGCACGTGTCATTTTTTTATATGAAATTTAAGTGCTTTTATGGGTATTAGTAGCACTATTTCTGATCTTTACTAAAAATATTATTGAACAACTATTTTGTTAAACATCTATTTAATAATATTAAAATGTTTCGGAAGGACTTCATTAGTTTTATTGATAAACAATACACTATTATGAAATTTTATAGCAATAGTTTTATGGATAACCGATTAACTACAATACTTAAGAGCTGGAACAATAAACTTATAACTTAATATTTCCAAACCTGAAATACATCTTATACAATATTAAAGCATATTTCATACTAAAATTCGGAGATTGGTCAATCCGGTGTAACTTTATTGTTTTCTTTATTTGTCATAAAATTTTGCTGAAAAAGGTACCGACAGGAAAAACATGGACATTAAGTAGGCATACGATATATTGTGACTATTAATCAAGGCATTAAAAGCAGCAGTGAAAGCGCCTTGAATAGCACAAAGGACTACGCAGGCATAAAGCATATTAATAACAACCCATTAAAATATGTTTTATGGCAAGTGAACAAATAAAAACAAAGGACTTGAAATGTTTTACTACTTGTTGAGCTAAAATGCTGGATGATTTACTAAAAGAAATCCAACTTATTGAAATGTTAGGGAATACATTAAGACTGAAAAGTTTTCGGAAATTCTCATTTAAAATTCGCGCGCTGTATATTTTTCGATATTTTAAGTTTATGTAGTTTGGCAGCACTGTCCTTAATTACTATGCCAAAAATGAGCTCGATCTGTCAGACAGTTCGTTTACGGCAGCTGTTGAAACCAGTTCACCTCAGTAGTGCGTTGCGAAATGTCTTCGACGGTCGTACGACCGTCCTGGAAGGCTTTGTACCACTCATAAACTTGAGTTTTCGATAAAACTGATTCCCCATAAGCCTTTTGTAGCATTCGCAACGATTCTGCACACGAAATTTCGTTCGAAACACAAAATTTGATGCAAACTCTTTGTTCAATATTTTTTTCCATTGTTTTTTTCGCAACGCCCTACTGAGGTGAACTGGTTTCAACAGCTGCCGTAAACGAACTGTCTGACAGATCGCGCTCATTTTTGGCATAGTAATTAAGGACAGTGCTGCCAAACTACATAAACTTAAAATATCGGAAAATATACAGCGCGCGAATTTTAAATGAGAATTTCCGAAAGCTTTTCGGTCAC